TTTTCCTTTCATTCTTCGTTTCCTTTTTTCTCCAACGCTCAGAGTTGGGATTTTGAGGGGAGATTAAAAGGGGGATTTAAGAAGAGAGAGAGAGAGAGAGAGGTGATTAAAGAGAGAGAGAGATCATTAAAGAAGGGGTGCTTTATATTGTGGGGTATTTATTTATTCTCAAGTGAGAATTGAAAGGGTTCATACCCTTTAATTATTAACACTGTAGCTACAGTGTTCATTTGAGAGATCTTATTTTTGATCTGCTCTTATAATTATAATTTCTTATTTGATTAATAAGAAATTATCTGTGTGGCTCCCGAGGACGTAGGCAGTTGCCGAACCTCGTAAATCTTATGTACTTTTCTCTATACTGTGTTTCTGTTGCATTAGGGATTTCAACGTTAAATTCCCAACAACAGCCTCTGTTAATCCTAGATTACAATAATAATGTCTCTCTCCTCTCTTCCTTTGGAGACCCTAGGTTAGGGTGTCTTATTTATGGACATCCCTAACTTTCTTACCAAGCTAATTTGGTCTCTACGAATATTACTAGGATAGGGCCAAATATTAGTCTTCAAACCAGGTCCTAACATGGAGTTCGGGTTGGTACCCAGTAAATAGAGGGTGTAACCAAGTTTAAGGATAGTGTGAGAGTGGAAAGAGTTTCACAGTCTTTATCCATGTAAAAGATTGTAACTTTGGTAGTGATAATAGATTGATAAGGCTCTCTGTATTAAATTATTGTATGCGATTCCTTACTAAGAACTGTGCTTTTTTATGGTTACCTGCGAATCTTAAAAATTCCTTAACAAGTGGTATCAGAGTAATGTTTGAGGGTTCATGGAGTGGTGTGATTGACAAGGGCATTGTTGATCGGAGCATAGCGATGGGGATTTTCTAGCAAGAGCGGAGACATTTGGAGAATGGTCCGGAGAAGGTGGACAATGATCGGCAGTGTCACGAGTTCAACGATAGTGGAGGTTTAGTTTCTAGAGTTTGTGTTCGATCGGATTTCATGTGAAAAGCGGAAACTGCTAGGTGGAAAAGTATTTGAATGACATATTTATAGTATAACTAGTATAGTGCACGTGCGTTGCACGTTGTTGGATTAATTTTATGTTTATCTTTTTTTATAATAAGATTGGTGTTAGATGTAATTTGAGGATTTATTTTTGCCATCTTTTTGTCATTAAAATCCTAGAGTAAATATAATCTTTTATGAGGTTTATTTATGACATTTCCAGGTCCTTTCTGCAAATTTTATGGCATATCTGTAAAATTATGAAGTTTCAGGGTTGTTCTACAAATTTAAAGGTTTACTCTAAATTTTTTTTAAATTTTAGTTTTATGAAACCAGAGCTTTCCAATAAAACTTATGGAATACCTGAATGACATTATTCAATTTGTGAACCTAAAAAGCATAATTCTATTTGTTTTATAACTTAGCGTAATGTTTGGCGTTTATAATTTAGCACACTCTAGGGTTTTTTATTCACAAATTCGTAATATAGTTATACCATTAGGCAGGATAAATAACATACTGACTATAAAATAATAATTTAAATATTTTGTATTAATATAAAAAAGTTTAAGTTCTATAACAACTAAGAACATACTCTATCAGAGCCAAAAAATTAACCAAAATCTATATAGTCCTCTGAAAAGACTTAATCGGAGCTTTTTCAATTGTTAAGAACAAACATCATCAAAAAAAAAGTTATGGGTTTAATAGTAATGTATGTCATTATTTTGCTCTAACAATATTTTTAAGTTGAACCTACAAATTTCAATCAAACAAAAGTTTTTGTGAAGGATGAATTTTACAACTCAGTACATGATTTATTAAGGAACCATCATGATGGGTATGACCAAAGTATATCCTCAGTTCAAACTTAATTTCCACAATAGCAGATTGAATATTATTTGATATTAAAATTTTTAATCTTTTTTCTTTGATACACTGAAAAATATGGACTGTTATGTGCATTTTATGCTAGTGCTAATTAAAGATTTTTGCATATACATAGTAAGAGCAAAACCTAAAAACCTGAAACTTATTTATATGAATACAGGGAACTACTCTTTGTTTCTTCTTCAATTATTCATCTTACTTGATCAGTTGGAAGTGAAGTAGCTTGATGTGTCATTTCTAGAATTTAGTCTTACGACTTTGAGCTCTAATTAATACACACATGTCACTAAGCCCCACTCTATATTTAGCTTATTTCTAAATCTTACTTTATCAGTGTTAATAATGAAGTTGAAAAGTATACTTAATAGAGAATTCGTAGAAAATTTTAAACAAATTAGTTCTGATTTATAGTGGCTAGTATAAAGATAAATAGTTGAAACATTAATCTGTATGATTATGGTAGTGATCATTACTGAGAATTAAGAAAGAGAGAGTAGGAGATTAATTTGTTATATATATATAATTAATCCCTCGGTTCCTTAAATCTTTGATATTCTAAAGTACCTCAAATCAGAAAATTAATATCAAGTCCCTCCCCTAAGCTATTTTTAATTTGTCCCTCAAAGTATTGATAAATTATAGTAAAAAATAAAATTAATTATATTAACTATTTATTATAGAGATTGACCAATTAAGACATAAATTATAATAAGCCAAATCAAGCACAAAGAAATTCTAATGATAAAAAATTACCAATAACATTGAACAAAAAATATTTAAAATTAATTTATAAGAGAACCTTCGTGATTGAAATTGCCAAGAATCATCTTAGGATCATATTTATCAAACAAACCTGAGTGATCTACAAAAGAAATGCAAGATCCTTTATATGCACCTTGATATGCTCCAACGTGAAAAGATAGAGAAAGAATCTTTTACTATAAATCTCAAATTGAAATTAGCATGCTAATCTCATCATGTTATAATAAGAGATAGTAAGTAGTGATTGGTTGTGTAGAGAATGAAATTATGTTAATGGGAGGTTATAAAAAATATAAACAACTTAGTCATGGTGAAATTATTTTAGGGGTTATGAATAATAATGCATTTAATTGGGGGTTATATATGTATGAGGTATGGTTGATGTATAGATGCATGTGTTTTATGTATGCATGTATGTGTTTTAAAGGGTATTTTTGGAAGAAATGTTTTAACATACCAACACACTTTTATAATAGTATTAGATAGGTCGGAGGACGTGGGAGTAATGTTCCTCTATTTGAATTGGTTTCTCACGAAAACTTGGTAAGCCTTGAGTCGCAAAGAGTTAAAAATAACTCCTGTACATGGATCAATGAGAGAAGATATTGGGATTCGGTGTTCAGATTGGTGTTTAGTTTTTGGTTCTATGTTCTTTCCAATCTAATGGACAAAATTGATTTCTCAGTAGATCAATGAATTGGAAGCTGATTTTGATGATGTGGTTCTTTGAATTTTTTGTGGTTATAGCATGGTGATGGTGGTATCATTGGGTCTAATGTTCGTGGTTCAACAATTCAACAGTAAGACAAATTTTATACCGTGACAGTGTACAATTTCAAATTCTTTTGGTACAACAAGTTCTCGATCAAGCTTCATGGATAAGAAACTTGAAGGGTTGAAGAACAATGAATAGTTTCATGCAAAAGAAGGTAGTCAGCATAATTCATTTGGCACTTGCTCTCAAGATCAAATACAATGTTATGCAAGAGCATGCGAAGGGGTTGTCGGGCAAGATTGAGGGAGTTTATGTACCAAATTCGATGACTAATTGATTGTGTTTGAGTATAAAACTTTATTCTTTGAAGATGATAGAAGATGCTACTATTCAAGACCACATCAGCACCTTTAATCATGTCAACTTCTGAATATTGATGAGAAGCTTAAGGAAGAAGAGCATGAGTTACTATTATTGTCTTCACTATCAAAGTTGTATAAGCTGTTAGTATAGACAATGCTTGAGGGAACATGCTTTAAAGTTTGATGATGTGACAGCATTACTATGCAGCAATTGAAGAATTGTTGAGAAGGAAAGGACACCTAATGGCGAGAGTGCTTTTTGAAAGTTCTGATCGAGGGCAGAGTAAGGGAGATGCGACAGAAATGAAGGAAGATCAAGATCCCAGGCCCGAGACGAAACCGAAAAGGAGTGCTACTAGATTAGGGTGCCTTATATATAAACATCCTCATCTGCCCACCAAGCTGACTTGGTCTATGAAAACTATTAGAATTTGGCCTAGTCTTCAAGTCCTGTTTTGACTTGGTCTATGAAAACTATTAGGATTTGGCCTAGTCTTCAAGTCCTGTTTTGACTTAGAGTTTAAGTCGGTACCCAACAATGTCGACTAATAAGGTTTTATGTTAGGTTTATTAAAAGTAACTAATTAATCAAATAAAATTTAATATGTGAACAAGATTAAATCTTTATTTTTTTGAAAGACTTAACTATATTTGTTTGAAGTTTATCTGATCAGGCTGATATATCCATGCACCTCCACAAAAATCATGGTTGAATCCGTAAACACAGACAAGCTTGATCTAATATGTACAATGACAATGATGCCTTTTGCCATGGTCTGGAACATGATCAGCAGTTTGAAGAGGACTGACAGTTTACTTTTATGTGCTAGGAGCCAATTTATAATTGATGATTATTGATAAACTATTGAGCTCAAAGTGGTCATTCACAAAGATGTACATGGGTCACAACTAAAAGAAGGGGGAAAAGTGTGAATTAGGCATTGTTTATTGTTTAAACCTCACAGCTTTTTTGGAACATAAATCTTAAAGTTGATACAATAGAATAATCGTGCATTTTCTAGACAGCACTCAAATTTTCAGGTTTTTTTTGGAATATAATTTCTGTTAATTAATTCAGCAAAATGGAAAAGTGTAAATATATCCATAAAAAAGTAATATTGATTCAGTTTAAAATGATATTTTCGAACATACCGTCCAAATTTTCTACCTGCATGTACACTACACATGTTCATCTTGTGTTCAAAATTAGCTGTGCAAACGATTTCCATAAATTTTGATTTTTATTCTGTTTTTTCAGTCAGTGTCAGTGAAGTTGAGGCATTGTTCGAGCTGTTTAAAAGCATTAGCAGTTCTGTGATTGATGATGGGCTGATAAACAAGGCAAGTTACGGCTCTGCACAGCTCTTTCATCCAAAACTCTAACAGGGAAATAAAAGATAAGATGTTTATCGAGCTTCATTATATGCAGGAAGAATTTCATCAGCTTGCTTTATTGAAGAACAAGAACAAGGAAAATCTTTTTGCGAACAGGGTACTGCACTCATTATTGGTTGCATTCTGTCTTGTATCTCAGTCATAACACAGGGAAACATCTTTTTGTTCTTTCTTATTAACATTTCAAAAATCATCATAACGCAGATCTTTGACCTGTTTGATGTAAAGCAAAGAGGAGTCGTTGATTTTGGTGACTTTGTCCGTGCACTGAATGTATTTCACCCAAGCGTGTCAAAGGAAGATAAAATTGATTGTAAGTTCAAGCATTTCCTAAGCTTCTCGTAACATATTTTCAATATACTAGCGTTGAAAAGGCTAAAATTTTACATGATTTTGCAGACTCATTCAGACTGTATGATTTGTATGGCACGGGATTTATTGAGCGGAAAGAGGTAAATTTTATTTTGTTTGTAATTGTTATTATGATCGAAACTTAATTTAATGGTTTTCTGCGTATCAAATCCTTTGAGGTATCACCTTATTGTCTTCTGCATATGCACATTATATTGGTGATTCTTTATTTCTTTCCAGTCATTAATATTACATATTCTCACACCTGCAGTTCTTTTGTACAGGTCAAACTGATGCTAATTGCGCTTCTATCTGAATCTGAACTTAGAGTATCTGATGCCACAGTTGAGCTAATCTTAGATAAGGTAAATAATATTTTTGAATGCACTACTAGTAAACTTACCTTGAATTGCTTTGATTGGAAAAATTTTCATGTAAATTTTTGTTCTAACCTTGTGCTCATCGTGAACAGACATTCGAGGAAGCTGATGTGAACCAGGACGGCAAGATCGACAAATTAGATTGGGAGAAATTCGTAACTCGCAACCCATCACTGTTGAAGATAATGACTCTCCCTTATCTCAGGCAAGTAGCCTTCCTCCATTGTCTATGACATGTTCTCAAACATTTTTCTTTAATTCCGGTAAAATATACCTGCAATCATGCCGTTGGGGATAATATAGTTTTAAAAACCATGCTGCTTCACCAAAACTCCAAAGTTGTGGTGAGGATTGACGGATAAAATTTTATATTCTACCATGTCCCCGTAAGTTGAGCGCCCTTTTTATGGACTAAAATCCGGACTCATGCATCAGTGTCAATGTTTTTTAGACCCGTTTTAAATTTGTGACTGATGAAAATTGAACCCGGATTGCTTTGATACCACTACACCAAACGCCCAAGTTGAGGTGAGGGTTGAGGGATATAATTTGTTAACACATAGCACTTCTAGCCTTGTGCTGTAGAAAGGAAGACAAATTTGTCTAGCTTCCTATTATAGGGATCTCTTAAGACCAGGGTCATCTATTATAGATGGACTGGAAAAGAAATATTTATACATTATTCATGAACCTTAATCATCCTTCACTTACAACATGGACGATGCTTATGATTTGCCCCACATACACGAAAGCTTAAACAGAAACAAGCTTGCTGCAAACATACCCAAATAAAGAGGATATTGAAAGGCGTGTGCGATCCTCCATGCCTTCTTCCCATTTTGCTCATAATATGTATCCATAATCAGTGATTCTATGGTGAGCTAATAGCCTAATAACACCATTTTGGGGATAAAGGTCTTGCCCTTTCAGATAGTATTTTGTTTATTAGATGATGTTTTTGGGAATATCTAATGAACTATCTGCCAATCGTTAAGTTTTAAATATTCATTCTCATTCTCAACTTATCAATCATTTTGATGAATTGATTATGAATTTTGTAAATTCAAGGTTCGGCTCATCGTGGGTGGTTCCGGGCTGGGTTATCAAAAGAAAAGGGAAAAAAAATTTCATGATTAATTTAATGTATGAAATAGAGGCGCACATAACTAAAAACAAATCACATTATATCGATCTTCATAGAATTTTCTTGGCTAATATTCAAGAGCATTTCTGCATGTTTTCTCTTTGGTTACCTTTTCTCCTTATCATTTTTGTTTTTAGGGTATCCTGAGAAATATAATAATATCCATGTATTGCTTGAACTTTTTAGATTTCTATATTAGATGACTATTACTAGATTCAGCAGATCCTACCCTTTCTCAAACTGTTAATCCGTTGTTTTTTTACCCCTTAAACCATTATTTGCCTTTTTCTGCAACGCTAAAACAATATATCTGGGCTTTGCAGGGACATAACGACCACTTTTCCAAGTTTTGTGTTCAATTCTAAGGTTGACGATGATGCTACATAAAAAAAAATCTTGGCATACCATGCGAATTGCACTCCCAAAAAGTGATAAACAGAAAATGTATCAGAAACTGGAACATTGTTTGTAGTCTCTTTTGTGTTAAACAATGAGAAATAGAAAATGAATCGGAGATTAGATTATGTGATTTGTGTCACGCCCCCGAAACTGCAGCGAAAATTTGTAAATGTAATTTACGTGACAGCGGCGACCCGTGCACGAGACAATTCTTATGCACGGGTCAAGCCTGGCACTTCATATCACATAGTTTATCACAAAATATTCATAAACCTGTTGATGATAGAAGTCAGAGCAACTATACATATATGTATATAATCGGTACTTACAGCCCACAAGCTCACCGTTATAAGCATTTTTACAAAACAAAACAAATTGTACTGAATGTAACATCAAAAAGAAGAGGCTCTCCATATAACGCCTCTCAACAAAAGCCCAAACCAAAAGTTCGGATAATATGAAGCTATGCGGGATCTGAATTTTTTTTTTATAAAAACAATGGGGTCAGCTAGCGCTTAGTGAGAACATTTCCCACTAGAGTTCCTAGATAACTAACAAAATAGTAATAAGAATAATTCTCATAAATAACAAATTACAAGTTTTGCATGAGAAATTCAAAGATAGCAAAATACGATCCAAATATCATAATATTGTCATCTTCAAGAAAGAATGCAACAATTATATTTTCTTTCTTATGTGCAACTGAATATACTGTGAAGTTTCTTGTAATCAAACCCTTTTTGAATCAAGGTAAACATTAAGAAGGAAAAGAACTACTAATTTATACAAAACCAAAGAATTATTGTTTTCTCAATTTCACAGTCAATTATCAAAATCTTAATTCTCGATGAGTTATTCATGAATATAAGAGTCACCTCATAGGTCACACTAAGGCTACGAATTATAGCCCAGTAGTAAGGGAATGCGTAAAACGCATCACATAACAGATAATTTCCGGGAATCGAATACACCTAACAATGTCATAGATTACTGGCCAAATGCAGAGGGGTCAGAACAAATTTCAGAATGGCCAATAAAGAAGGGCCAATACAGAGGGGCCAAATAAAGGCGCATTCACCATATGGTAGGCAGAAATAATCCATAGTGGACTATTTGAGGGTTTGAAAATATCGAGATCACATGTCAAATGAGTGATACTTTGCATATCAGAATTTACAGGTATTTTCAAATAAAGTTGACAAGGTAAAGCTCCTCATTTTAGTTAAAACAGTTTATGGATTTTTACTTTTTATTTTATCAGATACTAAGTCACAGAATTTTTTTGAATCCGTTAAACTATTGAAATACGTTCCAAATACTTCATCAAAAACTTTCAGATAAAACAATGCTCACAATTATTTAAAAATTGCATGAGAGCCAAATTCATTTTTCATATTTTATATAAAAATCAAATTTGCTTTTCATATATTGTACAAGGCTAACATCATATCATAGGATAGCCCACAACAGAAATAGGTCAAATCTTTATATACATGAAAATGTCATATTATTTATTTTTTTATCACAAGATAAATCAAATATAATACTCATGCAATTTCATATTATAAAATACTGGTGAGAAATGAACTCACCTCTAGTGGACACGACTATCCTAAAATATTAGTCCCTTGGATATCAATCAAATCCTATAATATAAGATGTAAGACTAATTATTAATTCAGGACAAACATATATTATAAGGTAAATTGATTCATAATCTAGAGCCTAATAATTTTAAATATAACCAATAATAATTAAATTCTACAGTACATATGAGTTTATTGCTATCTTTAGCCATTCATCAAAATTTTATAACCCTCATATACTAGTTTTTGGACTTCCTAGTAATTTATGATAACACAGGGGGTTATAAGGAATTTATCAAGTCTAAAAGTTATCTTTTATTTTTCAAATTGGATTTGTTTTCAACTGAGTAACTGACAGGGGCCTAACAGAGATTTTTCAAGCTTTTTTCAACCATAACTTATATTACTAAGGTCTGTTTCGAAATTTTTACATGATTCAGGAGCTTAAGGGAAATTTTCCTCCATTTATATTACTTCACCTGATCATCTTACTCCTTCTCCCTTCTTCGTTTCTTTTTTCTCTCTTTTTTCCCCGTTCCTCTTTTCTCTTCCTCTGCTCTCCTTTTTTTTGGGTGGGCATCAGAGGCATCTCTCTCTTTCTCTCTCTCGCCATGGAGGTGGGATTGCTGGCAGCCGACGATAAGACCCGCCAGATCTAGGGTAAGTACTCTCTCAGTCTTTCCATAAAAATCAATTACTAAAATCGAACTTGTTCATCATCATCACTATCCTATTAGAAACTAATTAGATAAAAGAACATAGAAAATAAAATACTTTAGATTTTCCCCTTTCTTTCACCGTCTCCTTCCTCTTCTTGTTCTTTTTTTTACCCGAATTTCTCACCCTTTTCCTCCGTTAAATACTGTTGGAAGGTGGTAAAACTTTACCGACCTGGTAAAGCGGTGGAGAAAAATCTCCGCCACA